TCCACATGGATAACGACGCCGAAACCGCCAAGGTGAACCTGCGCCGTGTTCTGGGTGAGCAAGAAGCCGCCCGCTGGCTCGGCAAGCGCTGGGGAATCGTCAATGTGTGGCGCCCGGTCGGCGACGTCGTGAGGCAGTGGCCACTTGCGCTTGTCGACTCGCGGACCGTAGTATATGGCCGTGACACGGAACCCATCTACACACTGAACAACTACAAGACGCACTTTACTGCTCTCCGGCCGCAAGCCCATTTCAGGTTCTACTACGTGAGTAACTTGGCTCCTGATGAAGCTCTTCTCTTTGTGGACTTTGATTCTGCGCATGAGGGCAAGGACACTGTCGTGGGAATGGCACACGGTGCTTTTCAAGACCATAATGCCCCTGAGAAGATTCCCAGGCGCCGGTCCATCGAGGTGCGGTGCTTGGTGTTGTATGACGAGTAGACTGTTGGGAGGTTCTAGTCTCGTGGATGGGGATGCCTCAGCACCCGCAAAATAGATATACGATCCATGGCGCTCGGCTTCTGTGTAGAGATGGGAAGAGGTGAGGCAGGTTTTTCTTCCACGGTATGGTTAAGCTTGATCATTACCTCCGCTGAGGTGCCAGCAAATACTGGGTTATATGTTTTTTGGGTTGAGTAGCCATATTCTACAAGTTCGTAATAGCGCTTCCTCCATGTGCAAAGAAAAGGCTTAGGCTGTTATTATATAGGAAGAGCTCCAGGACCACTGGCGCATTCTGATATCGGCGTTGGGTAAAGCACACGTGTTTTCGTAACTTTGTAAGGGGACTTTTATACCAATAAGAATCCGCCAGATGAGTAGTTTATGAAATCTTTCTGATACCTCAAGTTCGCCCTTGGGGAGCTTCCCAGCAAATTTACAAAGGGAATCGGTTAAGCCGAACATCTGGACAGCTTTCATGTTGCCCATCATGGCGGATGTGGCGACTCGAGCCTGGAAACGCCGGACACGTGTCAGTTAAGCAGGCCCAAAATGGCGAAAAGCACCCACAACAGAAACTAGCTGAAGCTATTCATACGCGTATAGTTTTCGTACAGAAAGGGGGTTAGGGTTAGGGTTGTAACCCGAGGACAAAAAAAGGGCCGCGAGGATCGCCGAGGCATATAACAACCAGAAGGACGGACACCAATCTCTGGAACAGGTGCCTAGATTTCGTGAGTTTGTCCGAAAGTGGATATGATCTCTCCCTGTTGGTGCCCGTGAGAGTAATAACGGCCGAATCTTTGACTGCCGTCTGTCGAAGAGCAGTGGTAGCTTGGGAAATCTCGACTACAAGACCAGATCGAGCATCCAGTACGTTTAGTGCTAGTACTCAAGACATCCGTCAAACTTGCCAGGGAAAAAGAGGCATTCAGCTTGGACAAGTTTGAGTCACTCACCGCAAATATCAGTGCAGACAAGTAAGATTGCTCCCGCGAGTGCTTGACCAAACGAGAGCGGTCTTTCTCCGCCCCATGCTGGAGGCTTGACATGGAGCCTTCGATGAAATGGCTGACAAAAGGGAAAACTTGCAAGAGCGAGTCGCGGGGGAACGGCGGAGCGCAAGGCCAGGGGTGTACGGAAATTATTGTTCAAAAAAGCCTGTGGCGGCCGGACGTCCTGCTCCAAGAATTTCCCAGCCTGTTCAGCGTTTATCTTACTACCGGTTCAACATCTGGCCTTGGTATAATGTCAAGCTCGAGCGTGCTCTTGTAGCTGAGCTTTCGTTGACCCAGCCAATAGCTTTGATGGGAAGCACATGTGTACGAGGTTACATCTGCCTACACCACAGCGACTTGGTGTCGAAGCCGTGTCAGTTCCTTCCTCATTTTGCTCCCATCTGTTGCAACGAAACGCCTAGATTGTCCGTAATGGCAAAACATAGCTAGTTCTGTCCCCAGACTTCAACTTCATCCCCAAAGGCAAGACCCGGCTCGGCCCGACCCGCAGGCGAAAGTATCTTTGCCAAGTTTATCGATTTGGCCTCGTCTTCGGGAAGCAGCCAGATCGCCAAGTATACGTGTCGCTGTTTCGGCGCCGTGGACCACGGGGTGCGTCACGGCGGCTATGCCGACAGCCACCGCAGCCGCTATCGACGACCCCGGTTGACACACGGTTTAATAATGTCTCTTATACTAGCTGATGACGGCTGGCGGCAAATCATCGCCAAAGGCACCCAAGACGTCGCTTGCATTGCCGGGTCGTCGTGTGTTAGACTCCGCAAAAGTCCCGTAACGCGAAATTACCCGTTGGCCAGGTTTTCTTCCGGCAATGGTGAAATATTATTGTTTGGTGCGTTGTGTCATCTTCCATATCCGTTAGTTTGATTTTGAACGTCTCGAAACTGCTCGCTTCCTTGCATGCTTAAGCGGAGTTCCCGCCAACAAGTCATGTTCATGGATGATGCCAGAATAACGAAAGAGGCATCGCTGAAATCCCCCTCCCGGCATAGTCTAGTTGGATACCAGGCCAAGTTGCTATCAGGTATTCTTAGTACATCCGAGAGACACTCACAGTGCTTCCGAAGATACTCGAGGAGCCGTTGGTTGTGCTCGGAATGATCGTACTGAACAACGTTTTGTAGATTCGTCGGAGGGCCTCCAGCATCTTTAGCTGAGGTCGGGGCGAGTTTTTCGTGTCATCTTCGACAATCTCGGTGGAAGTCAACTACTTCAGCTAATCACGGCAGATTTGGTCAACATCGTCTTCAATCCAGTAAAGAGGACGGTTCTGGATATACGGGCAGACAATCTGAAGCCTCGTAGCAATCTCACCTGCCATAAGGAGCATGTTCTTCCAGCCTCCCTCTTATGTTGCGGGATATTTCACCCAGGGTGCCAGTAAACTGCTTTACCCATGATACTTACACGTAGGGGGCATGGTCTTGGGACATTTCGGAAGCAGGTACTCCGTACATGATAGATTCTAGGTCGGAAGAGTTGGAGGACTTGAGAGGAGTCTGAGACAGGAGTAGCATCGTTCCCCGCTCGTAATCTTGAGAAGCCAGGCCACGCGTAGCCGACGACGAATAGAAGCGTGCCCTGGATCATCACGTATGACAGGCATCTGTCAGCCGCTTTTCCCCTCCTATCCATATTGATGATTCCACCCATCAAGCAGTCACTGGCAGCACAAATTACCCTCCTGTTGCAACGAGTATCAAATATCACGATGCGAACAAACTCCTCCGAGCCTGACCCAGTCGTAGCTTCCGTTCTAGAGATTACAAATGATTGTGTTTGCAAGTTGGAGGCATGCTCAACGCCGAAGAACCAAGGAGGCATCACAGCCATGGACAATAGGTTGGCAGATTTGTTTCCTTGGGCGGACAGCGTTGGGGCAGCTGTTGAAGAAACTGTCTCCCTTGGCTGGAGATTCAGACGCCGGTCAAACGACCTCGTGCGGGTGAAGACCCTTCTGATCATGCTAGGCGAGTCTACTGAAATCAAACCAACCTGTTGACGATGCAGTTCACCAGATCGATTCGGCTATAGATAATCTGGCCTTGATTGGCGTGGCAACCAGACGCACTGGAAAGGCATAACGACGCCATAGAGCAGACGGGCTCTTTGATCCAGCACAATATGAGGAACAAAGACGGCATCTCGAGTGCGTCATTCTCCTTCGGTCCAGCGAATCCGGCATACCAAGTCAGCCAGACTCGTCCAGTTTGATCATAGTCCAAAGAGATTGATCGAAGCCAGTCTTTTGAGGCGCCATCGCTTCATCATCGCTCGAGAGCACTCGAAGAAAGCCCAAAGGCAAGGACAAGGTAGGCCGTTTAATCTTCCATCTCCCCAACAAGCCCACCAGACTCGATCGATAGAAAAGGAAAAGAGGCCAGTAACCAAGGCGGGACTGGCTGCAGCTTCAACCGCCGAGGGAACTCTCTGGGCTGTGAAGGACGGCGATATGTACCTGGGGCTGCGAGGACGCAGATCACAGCTCTCGCCGCCGACACTGAGTTCCCAAGGCCATCCCACAACCCTCAGGGCCAGCGCATTGGAAAACGTCCGTGCTGTTGTCAGTCGATTCACGTCGAAGAGACGATGAATTCCAACCTACGAAGGCTCACGCTCCATACCACATTAACGCCATTTGCGTACTAACGACGATCAGGAAACATCGTATCGAGGACTCGCTGCTTTGAACTCGAATCATCAAGGAGTGTCTGTCACCTCGCCCGCTTTTTTATACCCGAACGAGACGGGAGGCCCATCTTAAGACCGATCATAGATCTCAACGGTGCTGTCCTTTGTGCCGAGCAGGGGCTCATATTCGACTCCGAAGAGGAGATGACGAATCACCCAGCAGCCAAGAACTACTGGGACGTTCAAAAAGACGGTGAACAATTGAAATCAAACCAAACTACGGTGACGTGCAAAAACCGACCTTCTCGACGTTGTTAGCTTGGTCCGAAATGCCTCGAACGAGAATCAAGTCGTGCGGTCCCGCCCGTCTCACAGAAGTGAGGATTCCCCCGACATTATCGACCATGTGCCGAGGCACATTGACGAGTTCTCCCCGCGCGCTCGTCCCCGGACACAAAATAATGTACCCGGCCTCTCGAGGCATGTTGGAACTTCTTGCCTACGACAGAACGAGCACAATACACACCGGTCGGCGGAATGGATCGCGAATACAGACTGCGGTGCCTCCACGGAACTCTAGCCTGAAGTTAAGAAGCCATGGGCCGCGAAGTAAACGTCCCAGAGCATGCTAAGGAGCCCGGTTACGTCTTGGCACATTATTCGTGTGATGGCCATATTATTGCCTCGCTGTGTAGCTATGCAGCTATCTAGTAATTTAAGCGTAGTCCAAGTACACAACTGATGTGAATAACCTACGCGCCGAAGCAGGGAAAAAACCTGCACATATCGGACAAAATCTATATACATGAAAGAGAATCATCATCGTCTGACAATATTGCTCCATCACCCCATGTCCCAGGATGCCTAAATCCCGCTAATAAGCAAGCCTCTTTTAGTGATGGCCCCTTTAAGAAAGACCCTTTTGGCTTTCCTCTTCCTATAGCGTCTGACATTCGGGTACACGGAGCTCCGTGGCACGAAGTTAATTACCGGTTTCCCTTGGTACTCGGTCATAGGGGAATTGTAGAATTCCTTCAACTCTTCAAGATCTTGTTGCTGGACGCGCAACAGGCTCGAGTCAGGGTAATAGTCCATCACACTGTTCTGGCATCCGTTCATCCACTTCTCGGACCACTTGTACTCCCTCTCCTTTGCGAATACGTGGCGGAGACCGAGGATATGACCGATCTCATGGGCGAGAATATTAGCCTGATAATCGACGTGGGTATCTGAAAAGGCCAGGCCGTAGATATGGAGGGTGCGTTGATTTGGACGACCCCCATTAGGGAGGAAGGCATTGGCTAGTACGTCCTCAGTGTCAGGCCGATGCTTAGGCCTATAAACCACCCTGAATGTGGCCTTGCGGTCGCGTCTCACTTGCTTAAAGGTGGCACCGACGCCCATCCACATGTGTATGGCCTCGGTCAGCTGGTTGGTAGTGTAAGAGGCGTCATCAGGGCTTGGAAATGTCTCGGTGCATATGACATAAGTCAGGACGCTGCCAGGAGCCCATCGCGGGACGTGGTCTCCAAATCCAATCTGGGCCGAACAGGGGTCCGTCTTAGCATGTTGTTCTGTGACGCAGCGATAGCTATGTGGAGAGCGAGACGTCGGTCGACTGCGGAGGAGACTGGGCTCTCGTCCCAGGGTGCGCAGCTGATGTTGAAAGCTGGCAAGGCTGTGGTTTACTGCGAAGTGCACAGTTTTGAAGGTGATTGAAAAGGCAATCACTTCGACGACTTTGTTGTTGGTTAAGTAGACAAGGGCCGAGAGCCCCTTGGTGAGAACTAGCTCTGTGCAACGAGGTGGCTCAAAGATCCCACAGTCATTGGCGGTTATGGATATCTCAGTGGTGGCACTGGGATTGAAATAATTCAAAGACCGTGGCGAGAAACTCGGTCGGGGTACTAGCACAGCGGCAGGGCGAGCCCGCCAGTCGCTCGTACTGGCGGCCATCTGATTGGTATGCAGTTTCCAGACAGGGGGATGATGGTTATTGGCGGTAGAACGTATCTTGATGACATGAAATGTCTAACGAGATGTTGTAAGGATGAAGTTTTCGATTAAAAAGCAGAATGCCACGTCGGTCTTTATGGACCAACGGGGCGGTCTGAACTCCCAGAGAAAGTCGGATTTGCCTGTTTACTTCATGTTCACAGGTAATTCTGAACTCTCTACGGAGTATTGCAGTGAATCAATCTGAGGATTTTGCTTCCTGTGTTCATTGGCTGGTCGGTTCTCATTTTGGTCAACATGTGCCACCTGAGGTTGTACATGGCTGAGGCGCCCTGTCCCGGCCGTCGGTGGCTTGGTCGAGAACTGGCTTGAGGCATCATTGGCGGCCTGCCTGGGAGCCGGGATATACGTTAATCCGTCATATATAAATATCTAGTGACATATAAAGTCAAGGAGGAGAATTGATGTCTAGCGACTTATGTAGCAGCTGCCCTTCTAGCATTAGTTTCTTCCTGGCCAAGGAACTATTGAAGAAGTTATAGTGTAGGTCAATGATCGGGCTATTGGGTTCAAATGGTGTAAAAGTCAGGTACTATTGAAAGCTAGCTGTTGCTATCGTGGGCTCCCTTTTATGGTGTTGAGCCGGCTTACCTAAGCCGGTTCGCTGCACCTTTTCGGCCCCCTTTTCGTTGGCTGCAACCACTCCAACATCTAGGTGTAATGTATAAAATATAAATTACAGTGAATACAAATCGATCAATGACATCGGTTACATTGGTTGTTGTGCAACTCCCCACCAGGCTTATACAGGAGAATAAAGATGGGTAGTAGTCGAGTGGAGTTGGGCAAGGGCGTGATGTAATCAATGCCTTGATGCTGAGATATTAGATTGCTGCTCGAAAGGGGGGAAACCAATCAATTGATGTTCGCAACACACTTCGGTGCTACAAGCTGTTCCAGGTGTGGTTGCTACGACCCTAACCCTAAACCGTGCCGTTGCTGTCGGGTAGTCAAATAACTTTTCGAAAGCTTGAACACATAGTACTAGGGAAAATTAAACTATAGTCGCGTAAAATGGCGTTTTGGACGATGAATTGGATTTTCGCTTAATATTTGACACAACGTATGCAAGATGAGGTTATCACTCATTTAGTATCATATTATATACGCCGGGTTGTGGCTGGGCAGTCGGGTGACTTGCAGAAGATTATTATGAGAAGCCTCGAACCACTTCAAGAACAAGCAAGCAATGACTAAATGCTAAACTCTTTGTCAGACGACTGCGTCTCGTCCACTGCTGTCTTGGTGCATGTTGTGTACGCAGCCAGTTGATACTTGTCGGCGTATAACCTCGACTATATGATGGCTTGTGGTCATTACGTCCTTGTTCTTCTCAAGCTGTCCTTTGTCAAGTCATCCTTTCGGATTCCCGTGACGCCCAATCGCTCCATTACTCACCCGAAATGGGCTGTTCTGGCCTTTTACCACTTCCAATAAACTGATTGATACGACACCTACCGCTGTCCTCGCCGCGATCAGAGCGTCCCTGTTCGCTCGACAAGCGACTACTACAGTTACAGTCACCGCAGACAGCAGTGACGACGACAGAACAAGCACGCTGACTGGAGGTGCTATTGCGGGCATAGTTATTGACTCTGTTGTTGGTATCCTACCAGACTCCTTATTTGGGTGATTCGTTCGTGCTTCAACCTCGGAGCGCCGCCCAAGGAAAGAGAGAGATTGTATCACCATATCGAGCCGACGCGACACCGGCATCATTCTCGACATCATTCGCGCCCTCGAAGCTACCCCTACACATCTAAAGTGTCAAGGCCCGCACCCGTCATTGTAACTGATACTGGCAAGCTGGCAGCAGTCAAAGGCAGCCAACGTACTATTACTCGGACGACAGAAGAGGCCGGCGTTACAAAAGAGCTTATTAATTCCTTAAATATCAGGAGATGATATGGCACCTCTAGTCTATCATTTTGCGGTGAAACATCGGCTCACAAGAACAACTGCTGGCCGGCGGACGTATTGGATGGCTGTTTGATGCATGTGGTTTATGTAAATAGCGACGAGCCATGGAGGAAACACATCTAGTAATAGCGCCCTTGGCCGAATGTCTCCAATATACAAGCAATAAGCGTCAAGTGTTCTTTCGAGTATTTTTCTGTGGCCTTGACAAGTTTTGAGGCGTATACTTTAATTGCATATAAACGAAATCTCATTTATAGAGCAACTATCGACCTGACACATTTCGGCTTCTTTCGTTTAGATGCATCCTTATGAAAACGTTTCGTACTTCCAAATATTCCTCACTCTTGACAATTTAATATGCTTGCCATTGTATCTTGCCAATTCTCAGGGAACTGCAAATGCGTTGCAGATAACAACGCCTGCCACCATCCCGCCGCCAACAAGGTGCAAGCCAGTCTTTGTCTTTAATTATTCCCTGTAAACTTTTCCCCCCTGTGCCCAAAAGCAATCAATGAACGTAGTAGCCTTAGAAGCATTACCAGAGGCTTCTTTCGCCCATGGTTCAATGTCAGACTGCCTCGCCGTGGCGCTTGTTGTCTAGGGTAGCTCTATTCGGAACAAATCACCATCGAACCAAAGGAAGTCGTGGCCATGATAGAAGAACCGATGGTTAGAATCAAATTCTATCTGTTGCTCCCGCATACCCTTAAATATATGGTTACTTTTATTTCACCTTGTACGTGCGGGATGTCCTTGGCTAGAAAGCTGGTTTGGCGATTGACTCACCGTGGTCGATGGTATGCGCGAACACCCCTCTGCCGTGGCTTCTGCTGTTGACCTCGAGGCCCTTCAGCCACTGACACATGCGGCGGTAGTAAAAGTATAAATTAAGACATGGCTCTGGTCGATGGATACACTATTGCAGCAAGACAGCCGCCACTTGAAACCCCTGGCCAATAACTGTTGGCGATGTGGCGCTCTCAACTTGAGTGGCCCTGGTGTTTAGCCTTTGCATTCCACGGATGCGGGCAAGACCGTTAGGCGAAAGCCTCCATCTCTGCTGTGAGCCATTTCGTATATATACTCCTGCGAATTTCCGGTATCCTCGAGGCCAAATCAAGTTTACCCCATGGTCAGTGTAGAGCCAACATAGTAGCTACAAATGATTCTCGCCAGTCTTTTCCTGTTATCCCAGTCTCTGGTGATGCCCACTGCATCGCAACAGCTCAAAGTCCTCCAGGTTGGTAAAACTCCAAATGGATTCAATGGCCCAGCGTACGGTTGGTCTTCTTTCGGCATGTCGGTCCACTCGCCAACCTTTGAGATGAACGAATCCTCCATCATCCAACAGTGCGATGTTCTCAGTAGCACACTCGGCAATAACTATCCCTATTGCAACTTGGATGCAGGCTGGACCGGTCCCACTGACAACTTCGGGCGCATCATGTACAACAAGATACTTAACCTCCCAGATCTTGCCAATCATCTCCACAGCAGAGGTTTGTGCCTGGGTGTATATGTCGTACCCGGTGCACTTAAAGCAGATGCCAAGAAGACCATCTACGGAACAGACGTCACGATTGGTCAGGTATGCTCGGGCACGGAAGGGTTGGCGAGGTGCGTTTTCAACTACAGCCGCCCTGAAGTCCAGCAATGGCACAACTCTGTTGTAGCACAGTTCGCATCGTGGTATGTTCTCAAAATTCGTGGCGACTCCCATATTTATACATGCTTACTCGCTGTTTCCAGGGGCGTAGACCTCATCAAGCTCGATTATGTGACCCCCGGCTCTCCGCCTCCGCCGGGAAAACAGTCCAAACTTCCGGCAAACCAGAGCGAGGCCGTGATTGCGTATCACAAGGCAATTGAGAACAGTGGCCGGCAAATGCGGCTAGATATTTCCTGGCAGCTAGACTTGTCAGAGCCGTCCTTTGCTATATGGAACCAAAATGCTGATTCGATGCGAGTCGATTCCGATATCATCAATTATCAAGGAAGCACGTTGACGACCTGGAAGGCTATTCAGCGAGCCATTGATAATTATCGCAACTGGACAATTGCTGCGCTTGACTTGCCCTTCGCGCTAAATATATATGCGGATTTATCCAGTCTTGCCGTCGGCAACAATGAAACACTTGCTGGTGTCAACGCCACCCAACAACAGACAATAATGACCCATGGGATTGCTTCCGGATCCAACTTGATCCTGGACTCAGATTTGACGCAGCTGGATGGTAGTCTGAGCCATTCTCTATTGTTGAATGCCTCAGTTTTGCAGTTGGCCGACTTTACTGCTCGATACCCCATGCAACCACGGAATCCAGGGACAGGGGGACAGGACGCAAAGCAGCTGCAGGCGTGGATTGCAGGGCCATCAGAAGACAGTCGTGCCGTTGTAGTGATTGCAAATTATGGTCCTGACCAGGGCCAAGGCGGCTTCAACACTTCCCTAAGGGGACAACAGCAAGTGACTGTGTCTTGGACGGACCTTGGCATCAGTGGGTGCTGGCAGGTGAGGAATGCGTGGACTGACGAAATTGAGGGTCGGATGGATACAAATATTTCTGTGCTGTTGGGCGAAGGCGAAAGTGTCTTGTTGGACCTAACCTACGTGGGTTTGTCTTCAAGAGTTGGTACATGCGGCTTTGCTGTCAGGGCAGGGAAATTTATGAGCAGGTTCTTATTTCAGACACCTGGCTGACTAGTGGAACCACGGTTGCAATCAATTATTGCCTATCCATTTGAAAATTAGGATCGAAAAGCACTACTACAAGCCGGAATGGTATTACTCACGTTATGCGTACCTGCCGAGGGAGGGTGTCTATTTCAAATCCTAGAGCCCGATGATGAATCTTCATTGAACATGTGAGCTTGAACCTTGTCGAGATCCTGGGACGAAGTGCAAAGCCAAATGAACCTCACTTTGGTCCTATGTTATGTCCTTCGTGGAAAGGGAATCCTGACCAACAACATGCTGATTTTCATGTGTACATCTCCGGAGTTCTGTCAGACGAAAGCAGAAAGTTCTATAAACATTGCCATGACCAGAATGTAGTTGGCAGAAACCTTGGGCTCAGAACCAGTGTCAGCGCAGCATGCATATGACCCTTGACTAAACGGTGGGCTAGCCCGACAAGGGAATGCCTTATTCCAAAGTCAAAATTAAGCATGTCTTACTAGACTTTTCTACCCCGCCGCATTTCCTGGGCAGTGTAACCAAATATTGGTCAGATGATGCGGGGAGAGAACTGCTGTTGTTGATGGCATCAACACCCCTACATCCAAGGAAGGAATATTTTCACTCTCATGAGCCATTTATTATACTCGGCATTTAGGTCGCTCACAACATTTACAAAGGCAGCGGGCAGCTGATGTGAAACCCGGCTGGTTGGCCATGGTCGTGGGTTACATGTCCAAAGTGGCACTAGAACACGCCATTGTCGCCTTTGAAAAGAGCAACATCCATGTGGTTCCCTAGTCAGACATCATTTTTCACAATACTGAAGGTGTATGCCGTGACGGCATGGGGCAGAATCTGCGGGACACATTATTCTCACAGTCCCGCAAGCCTGCGAAAACAACGCTTTCCCAACAGGAATCTGTCAAGCATAAAACTCCAGGTTTATCCAAGAACGGGGTTGCTTGGCAGGATGAAAGGAAAGTAGCATGCCAAACCGTCCTTCATAAACATTGATAGAATAGTAAGTAGTATATAGCTAATCATTGTGGCAGGACCCCGAAACAGCGGGCGTGGATGCAAAAGTGGCTTGTTTTAAGAAGCACATTTACTACAATAAAAGCTTCCCGGATAGGCTTCGTTGGCACCAAAATGATATTCAGCCGTTTCAGCTCGGCTTTGTATGACGTATGCTCTCTAATATGGGTGAGGGGTGTTTAGGGCTTGACTCAAATATAGGAATTTGGCGCACATGTCAGCATGCTGTCGGCGTCATGTCATTTCCTAGGTTCTCCATCCACCGATTGAATTCTCAGCATCCTCTCGTAGTCCGGCATCGCGTACCTAGTCATCCACTCCGAGTCAAGAACCTCGTTGACGCTGCAACGTTGCTCCGGTCTGTACGCCAGCATCGGCCGCAACATGGCAAGCAGAGCCTCCTTCTCGGCCGAATCCATCGTCTCCATGTTTAATTTTCTGCGCCCGCTTTGGATAGTATCCTCAAACTGGTGGTCAAAGGTACACATAGGACCGTCTTCGACTCGGATAAGCTGGCCATCCTCCGTAAAGTCCTCTGAGCGCGCATCCCATTTCTCCCACCATTCATCAGGCAGTTTCCCGAGAGTCTGGACCTGCATCCCTGTCACGTCGTCCTCGGTACCCCAAAACACCTCGAACAAGGATCGCTGGGCGAGGGTGGCCCAGACAGTACATGCGAGGGTCCAGATGTCGCTGGAGAACGACTTCGGCTTCGTTGGCTCAAACCTAGACTCTGGTGGGCGAAAATGCACCGGCGTGCAACATTCGAATTTCGACTCCTGCGAAGGGCGGTATGACTCGCCAAAGTCAGCGAGGACGATGTCGGCCTCCGACAGGGGAAGCTTGTCGATACGCTCCATGGGGAACCAGACGGGCAGAGTGGCAACGGGTGGGACGCCCGATGGAATCGGCTTGTCATCAAACGTCTGAACCGGCTCTTGTTCTGGCTCTCCGCAGTGCTCCAACAGCTCCTCGTCAGACCAGAGATGAAATTTCTGCGGAAGTCTGAGTAGGACGTTGCCGAGATGAAGGTCTGGAGTCGGTCAAGTCAGTGGGTGTCGGGACAGCGAACAGGTACTAGCACTCACCTCCGTGGACAAACCCCTTAGCATGCAGGTAGGCAACCGCAAGAATTAATTGAGCTGCGATAGCACGTGCAACGGGCAGCATTAGAGGTGCATAGAATCCTCTGCGTTTTCCCTCGTCCACGCTGCACCGTGCAACATCGGTGACCAGGCACGTATGGGTGCCGTGGGGACCATTGATGTGAAATGTGTTGAGAAGTATGGGCATCATGCCCCGGCCCAGGGCGTCGTTGTTCCCATCGCCGTCCACCTGAGACGGATGCCTTAGGAGGGACAGAATCTCAGACTCGCGCGGGCTCGCATCCGCCGTGCAGACTTTGACCGCAACGAGTCGCTGGAGCACCTCGTCTCGCGCGAGCCAGACCGTGGAATAGCTGCCGTGGCCGAGCTTTTGCAGTACATTGTAATGACCGCCAAGTCGATCGTCGATGGCCACTGGATGGTAGCCACCAGGGCCATATCTGTAAAAAGGCTCCGCGTCGTCAATAGCATGGAAGTGAACCTCCGAGTCCGATTCAGACGTGCGACTCCCATCTGGGGTCTGTGTTGCTGGTTTGCTCATGACGCGACGTGACGAGGCCCAATGTGCAGGATAGAGTCGAAATGAAGGGCAGCGGAAGCCGCAAGCTGGAGCTGCTATTAGGGGAAATACAGGAGAAAGAAAGCCTTGACAGCTTCGCAGAGTCAAAGATGGCCTTCTTATCGGCAGCGAGAGAGCAGTTGCAGAAAGTATCATGTAGATGGGTGATTCTGTCAAGGAGTGAAGAAAGATTGACAAAGACGAGGCCATTAACCAACGTGGAAGAGGATGTCGACTTACGTAAGCTCTCACTCACACAAGGCTTTGAATGCCATTGGTCGTCTACCCGCGCGCCATGTAAATTGTCGCAGCCCCTGGCCATCTTCCAATGAGTCCCAACAGTGCGGACATCATGTGAGAACTAACCACCACTCACTGTCGTCTGATACTGTTCAGAACCTCAGGGTTGGGTCTGGCCTCATCATTCTAGCTCTGGGAATAGCACCTCGCCTGGCCTCAATTGTCTGACCTAGGGGTACTGCCCATTGCCCATAGCGATGATACCCCCGAATAGGGAGCTGTCTAGTAGCGCTGGCCGCTCATGACCCAGGCTCACGGCGCAGGGCCCAGTCTGTGCCATCCTTACCAGACTGTTGGAACTGTCCATGATATGATGACTCCATAAGGTGCGAATCGCGGCGGCAATGGCTTCACAGCCTGAGCCTTGAGACCTGGGCACGGGCACTCCGCCACCATCGTGCCGCGCGCTGGAGTAGGTACATTGATTGGCTTAGAAACAGAAGTTGGCAACGTTGCTATTCCTGCTTTTCCTGATGGAAAACGACAAATGGTTCTGGTTGGGATATATAAAGCCATGGGACTAAGGTCAAGAGGGGATGTCAGGGACCATCAGCAGCCGCCATCTCGTACAAATCCTTGCACAAGTTCTCCCAGAAGCCCTTTCACTAAAAGTCCGCTGCCAACATGTCCAGCATCAACGATGTCCGATTCTTCATCTACCCGAACCTATCGCCGAAGAAACCAAGGCTGTTGAAGCTAGTCAATCTGGCGTATCTCACAGCCAGGGACAAAACGCTGTATCCAAAGGAGATACTCATCAGGTATGATACAGACCTTCATTCTGCCGGGCACCAAGGGATCTGTCGGGGGCATAGTTCATAACATCAAACAAGGTACTAATGGTACGGCCACGATATCCAGATCCGACCTTCACTGCACCACCAAAATCGGTGGCAAATACCGGACAGATCCAAAGGGCCCGCATCTCACCATGTGCTATAAAGACGAAGGCCAAGTCCAACGTGGTACACATGTGGCCAGCCATGGCTATGTACGATCAATGACGGACTGGACGTTTGTAAGCGCGTCGCATGATCCAGAGAAACTCGACACGGTGATGAGGCCGAATGGGAAGGGTCGTGTATGGCCCCCTTACGAACTGCTGACAGATATCACATCAATTGCACATAGCCACTGGGCAGGGCAGACGGAGGATTGGGCCCAAGTCTCGGAAAACAGCCCGGCCGAGCCCTTCGACCAGACTGCATACTACAGCCTGACCGCGGCCACGGCGTCGATGAGCGTCGCTGGCGAGAGCAGCCAGGCCGGGACACAGGAGAACCAAGAGTCTGTGATTGTCGACATTAAAAGTGACACGTACGTCGTGGTCGAGAAGAAGGACGGCAACAAGTTTAAACTTCGCCTCCACGACGAGTCGACCACCAAGACGCAAGCAACCGGATGGCAAGACGCCCATGTCTTCTACGGAGAGTCCTGGGCGCCATGCTACCTGTACGTCGGTCAGGTTTCGGGTACTCGGTACTGGACGTGGACGCTGGAGGTGAGCAAGAAGCGCGAAGGGAAGGGCAAGACGCCCAAGGGAAAGGGGACAAAGAAAGGGAGGGCGTGATTGATGTGTTGCCAATGTATAGACGTCTGCCGTACTTGTCGTCTTATTTAGAGGGTTAGAGGGAGATTGAGAATCAGACAGGATCGTACACTGACAAGCTTCTTCACATTGGTCTATCTCAATGGCCTGCCGTAGTCGGTCCCCTGATTTCGTTAGTACCCGGCCCCTACCGTATTATGTACCCGAGACGGTACCTGCCTGCATGGCCAGTCCAAGTGAGGAGGGTGTTTCGTATTGATACTTGAAAACCAGACTGATTTCCTCATATTGGAATCGGATTCACCAACTGCAACATATGTACAAGACCGTGCCTGATGCCAGCGAGCTGGTTGTCCTAGAGGCAGGCAAAGCGGGCGAGATCATTGACCTTTAAATTACACCCCCTGGGGTCCCTTCGGCGAACTTTGGTCCTACGGCTGGCTTTATAGCCTGCAGCCGGCTTTAACATTAATTGCGAGGTTGGCGACTTAACACGTGGGTGGCGTTTTCTATTAACTCGTCACTGAAGAGAATTTCCTATCAACCAATTAAAGCCTAGGCGACGTTCCTACTTTATTATCTTGAAAATGTAAAGCGGCAAGCTACACTGTAGCTTATTACTTGCTAATATACAGCAAACTCTACTCGGCTACTAATTTGAATCTCGCTTTGCCTAATTAAATACGTAAAGTATTTTACATTAATTGTTCTGTTTTTGTTATTAGTTTATAGTATTATAAACCTTAAATTATACTACAATTAATATAATAAAACTTATTAGATTATTATAAAAAAAAATTAAAAAAAAGGCTAGCTAATTACCAGGACCTACTAGTAATACAATCGGGAGTTGTACCTGGCTAATTTGACAGTAATACACTAGTTGACAATTCAAAAAACACTGCGTACACGCATCGCGATGCGTCAAACCTGCTAATAATAAAACTTATAACTTTATAAGCTCTCTTATACAAATATACTATTAAATAAGTATTCTACTCTATTAACTTCAAACCACATTATGCTAGGTCATTTGCGAAACTCAAGATTATTCAGTTCCATTATACCCCAAGCTAGCGTTTTGCTTCTCTAAGTCAAGTTGCCGCTACACTGCGGGTACTAGACGCTACACATAGAGCTGGCTAGAAGCATAATATTTCAGTCATCCAAAAATGTTTCAAATTCCTCATCTAGCAGCTCAGAATCTGATCCAGAGTCCTCTTCCACAGCCTTGCCATCTTCACCCCACGCCATGTCATCGCCTAGAATCATAGTCTTGCCAGCCAAGACGTCGAGTGACTGCGTTTCAAACTGAGGGAGTGTATGAGTCAGGATTCTCACAACTTTGGGTGACGTCATTTTGGTTGCGAGAGCCTCTGCCTGCTCTTGTATGTCCGCTTTTAGTTGAAGCAGTCCTCCTTCCTGGAAGCCACATCGTTTAGAGTGAGCTGCCGAGGTTATCCCCGGTAGGTTGGTAGTCAGGCTCAAGTTGACGACCACTTCGCTCAAGTGCAGACTTTCGTTTGGGTCCTGGGGCTTCAAAACGTCAGGGCAGATGCTGCGCATGCGTACATGAAGGGTTCGAAGCGTGCGCAGAAGGGTGCCGATGGCTGGACAAATATGATGGCTACCCCCTTGCTCTCCCGATGGGGCCAGAATGCTAACAGATGAATCCAGCACTAGCACGCAGAGGTTCTCCATCGAAAGCAAGGCTTGCATCGCTGGTAGCGGCAGATAATCGTCAGAGCTATCCAGCGGCTGAGGGGAGAGATAGCCCCAGGCTCTTATGCGCAAGGTACGCAACCTGTGAGATTTTTGGGCCATAATGGTGAGTTGGGCGAGGTCATTTCCAAGGTCCTTTATCCATGTCTCAGTCGTATCTTCTCTGGGAGCCTCATTCGGGCCACTGTCCTTTAATAGATCCAATTCCGAAACAGGGTTTTCAGGATATAACGTGGAGAAAGGGGCATGATATCCGCTGAGATCAAGCTCCAGGATTTCCAGGCGGCCCTGAAGTAGAGATGGACTTTTCATGACCCGGGAACTTACTAGGCTACGCAGGGTCTTTTGGTAAAGTTTGATGCACTTGAAAAATACAGGAAGGGCATATTCGAACCATTGTTTGCAGACCGTAAGGCGACCCAAATCTTCGTGGAAAAAAGATGACCCGACTTGATCAAAGATCTGTGTTAGAGTCTCGGGAGGCAATTTGTAAAGTGACATTATAGTCGTCAACTAGGGCGAGTTTTAAGGAGTCGCTGTAAGAGATATACACAATACGTTTCAAGAACGATATGCACCTTGAATCTATCTATCTGAGGGTGGTGGTTCGAGGTTTGTCAACTCGACGCAAATATCTTTTCGTTGTCTACACTGCATAGCGGGGCTCCCCTAGTTTCATTGGCCGTTTTTCACAGCAAGCCTCCACAGGGTTGCCCTCCGGGCGCTAAATAGGGCCACACGATTGGCTGTGCTTCTTTCTTGCTTCCAGTAATCGCCCAAGACAGAAATGCCCTGGTACTTTGTATATAGTCTGGTCTGGTACGGAAATTGCTATAGGCACTAGTGCTTGGAACACCTTAGGCAGGCTACAGATTTTTGAAAGTAATGAGAGGGAATTATTGCATATCTATACATTATTTGTCTAACTTCTTTTACCAAACCCAGGCTTGATAATTTATTACGATAATTTACTCCTAGATTGCAGCTTGGGTTGGTTATATATACGTGACACACGTCAAGGTTCTTTAATAATATATTAACCTAATTTTTGTCTTTTAATATTAGCTTATAGTTGGAGATTTGGCCGTGATTAATTGTACACATAACCGGGAGCAGCTTATAGTACTACCAGACCATTTCAACATCTTATCAAATTTCTATTAAGAGTCTGGTTCTAGTCTAATTCTTGCTCTCCCCGTTCGCCTCGCACCATATCGTAGGCCACATCGGAAAAAGTACATCGCCGCTTCCACAAGTAGATCAAGCTAGCACTCCCTCCAGGAAACAAAGTATCGTACCGTCCAAGGATGGCAAATCACCAGATAATCTGATACAGAGTCACTTTCGCCTGGCAACACATCGATTCTCCCTCGCCCATTTTCCCTCAATGTATTGCATGGTCTTCGTGCTGTTGGCAGGCTGGATATGGAATTTCTCCGCAGTCACGTGCTTCTGTCCCATCCTTACGTTGTCAAAACACCATGAAACGTAGCCCATAACTGTTCATCATCACGCCTTCCATGCTTCTTAACTTTCTCTCAAGTTGACAATTTTTCGACAGTCTTGCTCAACTTTTGCTCTTATCCAAGGCCCGAACGAACATAAGAAGATGGAAAAACCAAGCGACCACTGGCAGGGCTTTGCCAGTCTGGCTCCAGGTTCAGACAGATATAAGCGAATCCAGCTCCTCCTCTCCTCGGCAAACTTCGAATATCTCAAGGCGCGCGGAATAGAGTCCCGCAAGAAGCATCAACCGGGCTTACCCTCCGATGTCAAATGCAGCGTCAATCTGACACATTTCACATCTGGTTTCAATAATGTCGTCTTCGAACTTGCATTCTCAGACAATGTGTACTGGATTGCGCGGATCCCGCACCAGTGCCAGACCGAGAGTGATAAGACCTCATTAGCAAGCGAGATTGCCACAATGAAGATGATTCAAGAACACACCACTGTCCCGATCCCCCAGGTTTTCGACTTTCAAACATCCGCGGACCAGCCCTTTGGCTATCCATATGTTTTCATGGAGTACTTAGGCGGCCGTACCCTTCCAAATGGGCTGGCGAGAGCTATACCTTCCCAGCACCATAATAAAGTGGCCAGGCAGCTTGCAAATGTTTTTGCACAACTCCAAAATCTTACCTTCAGCCGCATCAGGCGTCTTTGGTGTGGAGAAAATGTTGATCAGCCCGTCGAGATCATACCCATGGCCTGGCACGCGACGCCTGGCCCGTTGGAAACCTCGCTGGAATACTTCTACAATCAAAAACAGGATGAAAACAGGGAAGCCATTTCCATGCATCCGGATGACCCAAACTGGCGGACTGCGTGTTGGGTGCTAAAAACAGCGCTAACCCACATGATTATTGAGGACAGAGTCCGCGGTCCCTTTCCCCTGTGTCATCTTGACCTGCATTTCGGTAATATGCTTTTTGACAACGACTACAATCTTACGGGAATCATTGATTGGAGCAGTGCCCAGGCTGCCCCCCTCGAGCAGTTGTCGGTCTGCCCGGAATTTGTCACCTTTCCTGGATTATCAGCAGAGGAGAATCAACCCATTGTCGACCTGAAGAAGCTTGTTGTAGAATCTATAATGGAAATGGAGAGCAATCAAGAATGGAGGCCACCCATGGATAATCCAGGAGCGAACATGGTGCTGAAAGCGAATATGACACGTCTTTCCACTTACATGGCCTCTAAGAGCGCAGAAATCACTCATCGTCATTACATGGCTTCTTCAAGGAAAAGCCTCTTCGGTGGCAAGGCGGTTGCAAAGCTCATCTACGGGAAGAGCGTCACTTGGGAACAGCTGACGGAGGTATATGGCACCATGCCGCTCTCCTAGACGATTTTCGCTGCCGTGGTCCTATTTTGTCGCTCCAAAGGCGGTTCTTTTGTATCGTATCTACAAACTTGCTCTATTTGCTACTATGACATACTATTCTTGCCCCCCACCAAATTTTGCATAACGTTTAGGCCAGAGTGTGATATTTATATACACTAAAGATGTTGCTTCTCCCAGCGGCGCTCAACGCCTTCCACTTGAATCAGTTCAGGTATACCTCGACAAGGGGTGGTGTGTTAGCTTTGTGAAGACTGAAACCGACATACTCAAAGAGCTCCATTGGGAACACCAAGACTTGCGATTTCGAGTTTCGTTCGTTGCTAGTTGAGATTATGGCGGGCAGTAATAGGTGGAAAGTTCACCGTTTTAACAAGAAATGATCTATAATTCCTACGGATGTGCCCTGTGCCATAAAAGTCAAGTTTTTAAGCTTTTAAAACTGCAAAATATC